GGGGCGGATGGTTGAGAACGATCACGGACGGCCTCCCTCCTGATGCTGGCGTCCACCTCCTGGGCAATCGAAACAGCACGAGCATACGTCTGTGTCCCGTGGCCTACGATGTTATGACGGACTACTGGGTAAATCCCGTCAATGAAGCGCTGTGCTCTCTGGGCCTCCGTGCAAACCAAATCAGGAACAAAAGCTGCAAGTCTAGTGAAATCCCTCTCATACTCGTCAACAGTACGAGTACCCTGCTGGAGCGATAGAAACTGACGCTCCATCTCTGCTCGGTAGTAGGTGGGGTAGTACTTCTCGCGGATCAACTCCTTGAGCATATCCCACGTACATCCCGCCTTCTCGCCGGGACGCATACTCCAATAGGCATTCTACCAGAGCCGAGCATCACCAGTGAGCTGAAGCTGAGCGCAGATTACGCGATATCTATCAGGACAATCCATGACCTCGAAAATAAACTCAAGGCCCTGAATCCATTCGTCCACGACACGGGGATCTCCCTGCCCTGAGAATTTTTCAGCATGATAGTCGCGGAACAGTGCGACTACTGTGGCCTGAGTAGGAGCCGGGTGATCGGGTTCCCTACGGGGCGGCATCTGAACATTGAGAAAGTTCAACATTATTGAACACGTGATAATATTCTGACTGATTACTTAGGCATACAAATCTCTTGACGAGTTGTCAAAAATGGCCGATAAATACTGACATGAATCCTGAGGAACTCTAGAGTCATCTCGAAAGATACTAAATTCTAGAGTCATATCTGAATTCTGAAGTCTGATCCTGATTTGAGCATCTTAACTAAGTCCTGATCCATAATTTCTGAGCATAGACAAAGTAATATGTTTATAACTGAAAACATAAATCAGCACTTACCTGTAGTCAGCGAGGCGTGAGCGTGACGGTTCAGGTTTTTCTGAAAGTTAATGACTGAAAAACTTTTCAGAGACACAGAAACGTGCTCTGATACCAATTGTAAGACCCCGACTTTTTACTACTATCAGAGTACGCGTTTTTTGCAATTTTTCTGAATAAATAAATAAAATATTAATTTTGCGAAAACTGATTCGGGATGCTACCGTGAAAACTTGACTTTTCTGAAAACCGTTAAATTTTAAACTGAATAATAAAAAGCTTATAATATATTAGCCGACTAGCGTCGGATCAAAAACTGTTTTAAAGGTACTGAAAGTTTTAGCGGAATAACAGCGTGGCAAAACATATATACATATATCTCAAATATCCTGAACAACCCGCCAGCTCACTCCTCGTCCCCGACCTTGCGGCCTGAAAAAAAACATGAAATGCGTGGGGCCGTGAGCACTATGGTACTGTGCTCCGCAGAAACTCATACTAATGTAAAACAGTGAAAATAATAACAATATCATGATCCTGGTATATATAACTGAACTGAAACTGAAACTGATATCTGATACCGGTCTGATCTCGCGACATAAGTCACGTAACTGATACTGAACATCTGTCGGCACAAACTAATACCGGAATCTGCTGGCACAAACTAATACCGGACACCATGTGCACACTCTAGTGGGCAGATTAGGCCACTACAACCCAGAATGGACCGGCGACCATTCTAAGCGGATACTGATAATACATACCTCAAACATGGTAGCGTAATTATAATCAATGTAGTACTTAGTCTGAGTCCCCACCTGAATTGCTG